ATACAAGTACTGCTCCTACGAAAAGTCCCTATAGAAATCATGTGGTACATTTAATTACTCCTCTTGGATTCAAATAAAACAGGAAGTTCTGATAGGACTGTCAAATAGAAATCTTACAGGACTCCCCTATATAAATTCAAAATGTCTTGTAAGACTGGAACACATAATTTTGGATTAAATACAGTAGGGCATATGAAATAAAGGATATTTTGTACAATGAAATAATGAAACATATTATCTAGATTATTAATACATGTACCGGTATTATTGAGGTGAGAGAACTTATGTTTGTTTCGTTGTAACTCGGCTTTCCCTATTTATACACTCATATTTTAGTTTATTGCAAAAAACCAACAAGAGATTTGTGCAAGTGTAATAGAAATATTAAAGCAATCCAATAATATAGGCCATGTATAGTAATCTTATAGGATACTAAAAAAATCAAATACGAATACAAATTAAAGTCGAATACCGAGAAATCCAATATTATTACTGGACTTATATTTATTTCACTCAGATGTTTCTCACTACTAATAAGCGTGTAATTGTCCGGAGGAAAATCTTCACTGAGTAGGTCATACTGACCATGAATATCTGGTGTTATGTATTTCATTGTCTGTGACGTCACTGTGAGAGTGCGTACCAGGCGCATTTACAATGTGGGTGTTTTATTTATGTAAATTGAAGGAATTATGTCTATGTATGACAGGTGATGCTCATGGGTATACATGACAATGACGCAAACATTGTTTTAAACAAATAAAGAGGGATTGGAGTTGAACATAGTCTGACGAGGTCAAGTGAGTTTCGCCCTCCGCAATGCTCCAAACCCAACACAGCAAGATCTGATGCCTCTGATCAGTCGGCGAGGGCCTACTCACGCCTACATGTTAGGCTAGATATTTTATATTGCATCTTACATTCCCACGTTATACGACAGCAATTCATGAGTGATGTCATGTTAAATGTCATAGTCCTCGCCTGAGGTTGAATGCTTAAGATATTGCCTTATGGACATATTGCAAAGAGAGCTTTTTTAGCTTTTCTGTAGAAATAGAATCAACATATTGAAGGATTCTGCAAGAATATTCTCCTACGAATACGAACTAGGAATGATTCGTGTGATGAAATTGATTGGTCCTTTTAATGCAACTTGGGTTGATCCCAGAGTAACGTAACTTGTGGGAGCAATGTACATCATACAATTACTTCCTTTATATTTTCAGTAATCTACTCAATCATAATCAACTTAATTACACCATTCCAGCCATGACAGGTAGCTAGTATATTTCACACAAAATATCGAAAACTTTGTACTGTGATAAAGTGGTTCTTTATTTTCAATGTTTTGTATATTTCATATTGAGTGTATATACAAAAGTGACACCCATAGTCACCCTGAGCACCCCTATGTTTATTATGGTATCTCCCTAATTGTATAGGGAAGATATCACTCCATGTATGTACATTTTCTACAACATTTAATGAAATTGTATTTGTCACATTCAACATAACTGAAAAAAAAATTTTATATAAAAAAAATCAATACTTATAAACCCATTTCCAATAACATGCAATTCTTACTACCAACAAAGACTGAAAAAATACTATGTATACCAAAAGATTTTTCCCATCCCATCCCCATAATTTGTATTGGAAACACAGTGAAAACAGGTAAAAATACTATAATAATGCTGTCAATGTACGTGCACATATAACCCTTGTTATAAATAAAGACTGGGAATGCTAAAAGATGCCAATCCTGTGTCAATGTGCAGTTTTAACCGTTCAATTTTAAATACCAGATTTGCAATTTCAAGAATTAGCTGGGCTAATTATTCAAGGAGACCTTGAAGCTGTGAGTTTTGTTTATGTGGTTTCGCTTTTCTGAAATATCAAAAATTTCACAGCACAGTAATAATTGTCTTATTTTGGTATTAAATATGATAAGAAATATTAATATGATTATGGGTAAAAACATGCATATTAATACTGCTTATAAAGTCAGCCAATCAGCACTGACCCTGGAATAAAAATGTTACTAATAGCACTTTGAACAATTTCATTGCCATAGCAAATAGAGTGCTACATTCTTTGGGATCTTTTACATCTTCAAATTAAAAATTTTACTTTCATCTGTACAAAAAATTAAATAACTTGGTATAGTCCCTAACTGTACCTTGGCCTTGGCCTTGTTCAGTTCAACAACCAGTTTATAGCAACAAATCGTTTATTTATTTAAACTGATTTAAATAATCTATTGCAATAGGGCATTAGAAAAATTCCTGAAATACCCTAATAGAATATTTTGAAATTACTCTAGCAGTAAAATATATGAAAGCGGTTAGGAAATTGAATTGATTTGATCTTATTTGTTATTGTATTTAATGGTGACCATTCTCATCACACATTTCATATCTAACCAAACCTTGTGTAATTCACAATCCTGAACAGAAAAATAAGAAAAAGTGTTTGTTTACAAACAGTTGCAAGCACATTATGTTTCATTTTTAAATTATGATAAAACATGTTTTAAATTGATTTTTCCTAAAAATTTAGTTTTTTTAAAAAAAAACAATTTTTTCTAAAATTTTGACAAAAGCCTAAAAATATAGTTGAAATGTATACACACTTTCAACTACCATGTCCAGAAATATATCTGTATATTCAGGTATCTTTATATTCATTAGCAAAGCAGCAAACATCAGTTCAGGTCAAGAGATAATACATAGATAGAGACTGTAGTACTAGACAAATACTTGTGTATTAGCTTGGCTTCAGCCAAGGTTAAATGAGTTTCAGCCACATTGGTTAATACCTTGTTTGTGATAGCCAATTAGAAACTTAGATTATACCATTATAAAGATTACAATACATACTAGTGTAACACAGACTTAATTAAATAATGTCATTCTGATGTATACTGTAAAATACTTTATTTTTGCTTGGAATTAATTTTCGCTATTTTTTCGCTGAAGAAATGATTGAGTGAAAATCAAATCAAGTAAATATACCTTATTTCCTATATCTACATTGAACTTGTCAATAATCTGTGAAAATAAATTCCATACAAAACACACAAAAAGTCATTTCAGCGAAGATTAATTCCAACTAAAAGTAAATAAAGTATTTTACAGTAATTTAGCAATCTGTGGTGGCGATGACATTGGCACTTTGCAAAAAGTTAGCAGTGTATCAATAATTTTTGATGAAAAAGTGTTACATCTTCAATACCAGAAAATAAACATTATTTTAGTGTAGGTACTTCTAAATAGATAAAAAATACAATAATTTACAAAATTACTCCCCCAATGAGATTAATGTATGTAAATGAGGATTATGTAATCAAATTGGATATCACAAATTCTACTGCCATTTGACTCAAAATAATTAGATATCGCAATTACTATTAGTCAAAGACGATTTTGTCTTGAAATTGATGTCTTCAAAAGCCCTGTGTCATCATTGCACTTTGCATATGACTCTAACTTACAGTTGAAAACTAAAAATAACATACAAATATATTGTTTCAATAAGTTTGAAGTTAGTTTGTTACTGTGCTGTACACATGTTGGTGTTGATTTTGCAACAGAAGGGGGGGGGGGGGTTCTGAGTGATCATATAACCATTCATTCATGATTTCCTAGTTTTATATTTTAATGGCTGTTGACATGAAAAATATGCATGGATACCC